CCATTGTGGGCTTAGGTTCTTTCTTAAATGCTACTGACTCCCTCCTGCTTCCCAGGCCCTAAGTAGACAATCCCTGTCTAGTGGTTCCACCTTGATGCCTTCTTCATACCTCAAACTCACTTCCCCGCCTTACTGACGATACCAAACCCCGCCCATTGTCAGCAAAGGTGACCTGCCAATTCAATTGTGGTTTCTCAGTCCCCTGGTGCTGCCTCACCCTCAGCTTCCCAGCAGCCTGACGACAGGTCTTCCTGCCACCTCTTCTGCCCCATGACAACCCACGTCTGCACTTGCTGTTTCAGGGATAGTTCTAAACTCCATATGTGATCATCTCATGGGAAATGTATAGTAACACTTAAGAACCGTAGCCAACCCTCCCCTCCCCTCGCATCTTGTGTTTCCTTCTTAACTCTCAGCAGTCCGCTCGACACCCCCAAAGATGACACACAGTTGTGTATCATGTGTGTTTCTCTTTGTTGGGTTTGCTTGCCCTGTTTCCAGCATGACACACAGTTGTGTATCATGTGTGTTTCTCTTTGTTGGGCTTGCTTGCCCTGTTTCCAGCATGACCCACAGTTGTCTATCATGTGTGTTTCTCTTTGTTGGGCTTGCTTGCCATGTTTCCAGCATGACACACAGTTGTATGTATCATGTGTGTTTCTCTTTGTCGGGCTTACTTGCTTTGTTACCCTGTTTCTGGCTTTCTCACACACCAGTGAGCTCGTTCTCTGTGTGGTCCTTCCCTGCCAGCTAGATTGCAACTTGTGAGAAGTATTTTATTCATTTTGTTGTCTCTATGCTTAGTCTACAGGAAATCTAAATAAATATTTTAATAAAGGAATTCTCTAAAGTTCCCTGGCAGCCTTACCTGAGGACATAACTAACTGCAAATTATGCAGAAGTCATTTTCTAGAACCCCTGCCATACACACCTCCAATCCAAAATTCAGACTTTAACAAAAAAAAAAAAAATAACAACAGGAAAAATGAGCAGGCTGCACTTTGCCCCTACCCATGCCCTGTCTTCCTAACCCTACATCAGGTTTCCATCAGCATCTTGGTATAATGCTTCGTAAGGTTATTTAATAGTCTCTCTAGGTTTCAGTAGATCAGCAGGCCTGCTATAGACATAGAAGGATATATATCGTGTGATGTCAGAAAAAGAAGTGTGAGGTTGCTTTCAGGTGAAGGTTTCTGAAGGAGAGAATTGTTATGTAGCACAGATTAGTGTTATATATATTTTATATGTTAATAATGACAACTTGTCACAGAGGAAAGGTTCTCTGAGACCTAGTGTCCTCTACTTCAGAAGACACTGCATCTGTAAAATACCCTGTTCCAAGTGAGACAGAACTGTGTCTCTGGAACAAGGAATACTTAGGTGCCTTATTCATTTACTTTACAATGGAACACTGGTTTCTTAGCAATGCCAGATAATGGTCTCCAGCACCACAGGCCTGTTCTTCACAAATTTTATGCATTGAAAACATAAAATCTGTTAAAAGAGAATGTTTCTGCTTTCCTTAAATTCAATTCACTGCCATAATTTAACATTAACTAACTACTGGTCGTCTGCCCCTAGTAAAGGAAGGACAAGATGTCCACAAGGAGAGTCTTCATGCAATAGATTGGAAAGTTGGAGTAGCTGTTTGCTTTACATGATGGGTTGCCACACTGACCTTAGGGTGACCAAGCCCTCTGAGTCCTGCGTGCTTATCCTGCCTACTTGCATGCCATGGCTTTTGGCAGAGAGCTAGGTTGGTCCTAGAAGTAGACAGTCAATAAAGACAAAAAGATTAGGCTGTCTGAAGTAGGATCGTGAAACTCCGACATAATAACTTAGTTAGAAAACACTTTCTGGAATGAAATGCCCAATTCTGTTGTTGAAACTGTGTCCTGTAGAACTTAGAGATGGGAAAGACTGAAGTGTGCTGGACTTAAGAACACGGAAATGCAGCTGGAGAGCTGGCTGGGCAGGTAGGCACACCTGCTACTCTCGTACAGCACCTGAGTTCAGTCCCCAGGGCTACCTGAGCCGGCTCACTACTGCCAGTAACTCTAGCTCAGGTCATCCGATGCCTCTGACCTCCAAGGGCACAGGAACTCCTGGGCACACACTCACATGCAGATACATAACTTACAGTAATAAAAATATGTCTTTTTAAGAAGAAGACTGAGGTAGAGTTGGACTCCACAGATGTTCCTGGGTACATCTATCTGTCTTCAGAAGTGTGACTCTGTGTCCATGCTGGCTCTTCAGAGCAGTGTTCAGAGAGTTTTTAGCTTCCTGTGCAAATATCTTATGCCCGCCGTGATTTAACAGAACAGAAAAGAAGCATGGAACAAATGTGTAATTAATGACGAGTTTTAAAATTAATGGGGAAACCATATACTACTGTGAACGGTATGTAAATGCCAATTGTAGCATAGTTTAAAAGCTCGGTCCCCTGGGTGTTCAGGAGACTGAGGCAGGAGCATCCTCAGCTTGAGGCTAGCCTAAGGTGTACAAGGCCAGCCTGAGACTATGCAGAAAGATTCTTCCTTTTAGAAAATAAAAAAGTAATAAAACCAGGAAAGTTATTTTGTGCTGCCCCATGCAGCGCAGCAGGGCTGGTTTCACACTGGCCAGTGCTGCTCACACCACAGGGTGTAAGGTGTTCGGCATGAGCTGCTCACACCACAGGGTGTAAGGTGTTCGGCATGAGCTGAATTTTCTCCTACAGCATTGTTCTTTCCCGGTGTATTTTTGGAACTTTCTCTGGTGACTCATTCTCGGTATCCTCAGAACCTTTTTTTGGCTGAGAGTGAATTTGACTCAGGAAAGCAGGAGTCACTCAGGGCCAGGTATGATAGGTAAAGTGGAGGATCGGTGAGAAATGCTATCTCAGCCTACTATTTTGGGTGAGTCAGTAACAAGAGTGTTTTCTAGCTTTGACTCATGAAACAACTAGAGAGTTACCATCTTTAAAAAAAAATGAGCTTCAGGTTTTATCATTTTCAAGCTAAGTCTTCATGCTTTCATACAATGTTTCTGCTCCAGAACGTTGGCTTCAAGTTCAAACCTGCTTTGTCTGGTTCTCGGGCACACACACCTGCCTTTCCTCAACTCCTGCACCTACCACACAGCCCTCTTCCCTGTACTCACCACACAGCCCTCTTCTGTACTCACCACACAGTCCTCTTCCTCAGAGACCCATCAGTTCAGCGAGGCAAGGCATCCTCTTCCCTGGGGCTCAGCACTGATGAGATGCTTTCCCTGTCAAGAACCAGTATGGCCCCTACTCTTGTGGGAGTGTGTTCCCCGAGTGCCTTGGACTTCACAGTGGGACTCCTTCCTTTCTGGGGCAGATCTGTTCTGAAAGCAATAGAAGCTATCCACAGGGAACACATGGAAATCCCATGGGGACTGCTTAGACACCTCCTTGTAGCCTTTGTCATGAAGTGACGCTGTGCTGGCCTGAATCCCATCAGCCCTTCAGTGCTCACTCTTCCTCCTCGTCTCTAGGCTTCCTACGGACAGTGAAACAGTTCTTTCCTTATTTTCCCACCAAGGTGTGGAGTACATGATGACAGGGCTCTTTCTTCTTTGTTAAAAACTACCTACACTCCACTATTAGTGTCATAAGAAAGGACATAGTTTTAGGGATTTTTACATTAATTGGGAGTTGGGAAGCATATGTGTGCCATAGACTTAACATGGCAGTCAGAGGGCTACAAAAGATTTGGTTTTCTCCTGCCACCATGTGGGTTCCAGGTATCGAACTCACACCATCAGGCTTGGCAGCAAGTGCCTTTACCCACTTAGAGGTTCAGGGTAGAGTTTGTTTTAAATGTTGACAGGGTAAAAGCTGACTATGTGGATGTGTAGTATAGAGCATCCTGATGGCTGAAGTTTCCGTCCGGCTCAGTCCTGCAGCCGTTCAGTCCCAAATAAACACACAGAGGCTTATATTAATTATAAACTCTTTGGCCGATGGCTCAGGCTTCTTATTAGTTAGCTCTCTCTTAATTATTAACACATTTCTATTAATCTGTACCTCCACATGGTCTTGGCTTACTGGTGATGCCCAGGTCTCTTTCTTCCTCTGCAGCTACATGGTGTCTCTCTTGAGACTCACTCTCTGTCTTCCTCTTCCCAGAATTCTCCTAGTCTGGTTGGTAGTCCCACGTATACTTCCTGCCTGGCTACATCCTGCCTGTTCATTGGCCAGAACAGCTTTATTCATCAGCCAGTAAGAGAAACCTATGTTCACCTCTTCCATCTGCATCCTGTAGCCCTGATGACATTGCTGACTGTGCTTCTCAGGAGACGACGCTTAGCTCCCTGATTTGACAAAGAGACAGACTCAGTTAAGCCCAGGGCTCTGTAGGTCCTTGTGTATAGCAGAGGAGTTGTCCTTTCCGGGTGTCACAGTGAAGAGCAGTAAGGAATGGCCACACTCAGAGCAGAGTTTACACTGTGCAGCTTGAATCAGCTTTGAGTTGGTTGGTCAGTTTGTTTGTATCACAATGCTATTTTGTCAAAACACTCAGGGTAAAAGTATTCTGGGTAATGTAATTTTCTGTTTATGAGCTGAAATTTTTGGCATTTGGTAAAGGATAAACCTGGTGACTGAACAGTCTGGCCCACTTCTTGGTCTGTTGGTCTTGGGTTTTACAGCACCCTGTAGTGGTCCCCAGAACATCTCCCATACAGCTGCTTCTGACAGTGGCACATTTGTCTCTGGGCCTTTTCCAAGCAGGTTTCTTCATCTTACTTTTTTTTATCATTCAGTCTTCCCTAATAGTGAGGCATTGATTGCTTTGCTGTGGATTTACTCATGGTTCCTGCAGCATGTAGCTTGTGGCTTCTTCAGGGAAAAAAATTCCCACTTTAATTGTTAACCATGCTTCTAAGGGGTGTAAAGAACTTTCTTTAATATTTATTCTAAAGCTCTTTAGACCTCAGTACATTTTGGATGATTTTACAGCATTAATTTGTTTTGTTTTTTCTGCATCTAGTTAAAAAATCTAAGTTTAGAAGAACTACAGATGCGTTTAAAAGCACTGGACCCCATGATGGAGCGTGAGATAGAGGAACTGCACCAGAGATACAGTGCAAAGAGGCAGCCCATCCTGGATGCCATGGACGCAAAGAAGAGGAGACAGCAGAATTTCTGACCAATGTCCTCTGCCTCAGCATGACCAGAGACCAAGCCACTAAGAGAACTGAAGGGACTGTGCTGCTTTTTAATCCCCAAAATGTACGTTCTACAAGTTTGCAAAAGTCAAAAATTAATGATGGTACACAGCCAGGTAAATTCCCAAAGCTAGACTTTGAGTTGTGTCCACTCTGGCTTCGGTTAGAAAGGATAAAAACAATAGAAATGGGCTCTTTCTGCCGGCTGCTACGCCAGCAACCAAACCAATCTAAATTAAAGCTCTATTTGGAGACTTTGGAAATCCAAAGTTGTCGCTTAACCGCACAGTACTGGAGGGCTTTATGTCACACTATCCTCTGTTCCTGTGGAAAAGCCTATTTATTGTACCCTTAGGTAGACTTATTTATTTATGCAGTTTCACTTTTTGTTTTTTAAAGACAAGATCAGGATAGTTTGGGTAAACGTCCAGACACACTGACAGACACACAACTAAATTGTACGTTAGGCAGGGATGCGTTCCTTCATCTCCAGTAGAAACAAAGCCGTAAGAGCAATAATGTCCAGATGGACTGGGTATCTTTATACTGAAGTCTTAATTCCATCTCTACCTTTTGAAGTGTTAATTTTTCACTTTAATATTGGTACAAGCAAGGCTATATATACATAGGTCAAACAGAATTATACCATGTGAAACCAAAGAAATCAATGAAGCATTGCTCAAAAAAAAAAAAAAAAAAAAAAAAGATGTGGGGAATATTTTTAAAAAGATGAAACTTGAGAAGACAATGTAATTGTTAACATTTCCTGTATTGGTCCTCAGTCATCTCATCAAATTTATTCTACGGAAATATGCTTTTGTCACAGGGCTTTTTGTCGATTTCATTTATTTCCTGGAAATTGATAAGCATCATGTATCTGACAATAACAAAACAGTAAAAACATTTGTACTAAATTGTGCATCCTTGGGGCCTGAAAAAAAAAAAAAAAACAAAAACAGATTTCAGCTAGAAAGAGACACATTTCTGAGCAGAATTACCATTTGTGTAATTGAACTGGGACCAGTCCTTTTCTGCACTACACATGGCCATTTTGAGTGTGTGCTCTTTTATGTGTTAATTACTATATATACATCATGAAGACAAATAAATTCCACTGTGCCACCCACCACACTGCATCTTAGTATTTTGTTGTTGTTGTTGTTGTTGTTGTTGTTGTTTAAGCTCCTGGCCTGGACTCTGTTGGGCAGGACAGGCTGCATGGCTCATGAGTGGTGACCCTGACACTTCAGTAGCCTTATGTAGCTGGGTTACCCCTCTCATAACCCATACCCAGCCACCACTCACGGGCAGGCTGCCTCCCTCCTGTCAGCCCCACCACAGGGAAGGAGTTCTGACAAACATCACACTCACTTCAGCCGACAACTCCAGTGGCTGCAAGAGGTGTCCGAATGGTCAGCACAGTGTGGCGTTCATTAGAGGCTGACATGACCACACAAGGAGGCCACCAAAGCCTCCACTCATTTTAAAACAGCGTTGTGCCCAGGTCATGCCTTGAAGTGACATCTGGTTCTGTTCTGTTGAGTCCTTCCAAATAGTATATTGTAGAATCGCATATATAATTTACAAAACTGGAAATGAGATGGCTAAAGCCATCCGCTTGGCACCGTCAGACATGCTCATCAGCTCACATTTTATCCAGGCCTCGTCTCTTGATGGTCTCTCCTGTCGCCAACCTAAACCTGGTGGAACCGATGACTAATTTCTACCATCTAAGCAACAATGCCTATTTGAAATGACAGAAGCTAACAAAGACAGCCTCTGGCCACCTGACTAAGCGAGGCTGTTAGCCGCGTGGGGCTGCTCTGATGCCTGAGTCAGGTCAAGGGCTCCCTTTCAGTCCTGCTGTGTTCTAACTGTTTGTGGATGCTCTTACACCCTGTTATTATACCTACATCCATTCATGGGCATCCACACACATACAGTTTTTGACTTTTTGAGACAGGGTTTCTCTGACTGACGTGACTCACCTGGCACTCGCTCTGTAGACCACGGTGGCCTTGAACTCACAGAGGTCCGCCTGCCTCTGCCTCCCAAGCACTGGGACTGAAGGTTTGTGCGCCACCACACCTGGCTCATACACATATATTTTAAGGGAATTAGGAGCAACAATGGGTATCACTTCACCCTAAAGCTGTGTTAAATGAGTCAAAACATTTTAGCATGATATATCTTAAAGTTTTCATGTCTTCTCCCCACCCCATCCTTGTTATTCTGCACTCTGAAAAGGAAAAAAAAAAAAAAGAAGAAGAAGAAGAAGAAGCAGCATTGAAGAATGATGAGCCGGGAAAGAAAGCTTTAAATCTAGTTAAGCTTGATGATTCACAGCACTCAGGAAAGGGAATTTTCTGTAGCTATTTTTGAATTTAGGAAGAAACCTTTTATTTGACCCTCCCCACTGAGAACCTCCAAAAATAAGTAAGCATACTTGTCCTCACAGCCATTGCAAGTATACAGCACCTGTACGAGGCTGATGAGTCTTCAAGTCAGAAGCTGGCTTTGTCCCTTGTGGCGAGCGAGAGTGCTTTGTGTTTGATTTAAGGAACTTAGATGCCGCACCGTCGCCACTATCCCAGCTCATTTTAACATCAGCAGTTCTGTGTTCGAAACATGGGCTGTGAATTTAGCCCACAAAAACTGGAGAACAGAACAGACTTAATGGATTCCAGGAGCATGACACCGGTTATTCGGAACCCTTACAGTGTTTGACGCTGGGCTGGCCAGTGTCACCTGTGTGGTTTTATGTCTCTCCTGCTCTCTACTGAGTCACATCCGGGGGTTTGAAGCCATGTTCTACCCAGCTATGTCACTTCTCAACAAACATCATATAATACCTTAATGGGATGTTTTCAACTTAGTGACAGGAAGTCTTCCCAAATCACTGACACACTTATGTTCAATAGAAATGCTATTTTTGTGTCTTTCCTATTTTAATGTTAAAGGTTGGTGATTAAATTCCAAAAATGCTGCTATCCTGAGTAGAATTCTTTAACTACTTGGAATTATTGAACTGTTACTATGAGGTATAGGCACTTCATCAGATATTGTATCAGAATGTGATTTTGAAGTGTCAGGCATCCTTTTATTTGGTACAGGAGATTAGGAATTGGGTCTAGAGAGTATTGCGCTTCTTTGCTCTTTGATGTGATGAATTCCGGGCCCAAGAAACACTATGTGTCTAAGTCGGGGACTCTGGTATGTGTAAAGGTGTCTTGGGCGTGTCTTAGTTGGGGACTCCCGTGTGTGTAAGAGTGTCTTGGACGTGTCTTTGTCGGGGACTCTGGTGGGTGTAAGGGTGTCTTGGGCCCCGAAGAGTGAGTCCACTTCCCCTTTTCCATATCCTCAGGAACACTTGACTTCAGCATTCCCTTCCCTAATGCTTTTGTCATCACAAAGACTCTAAAGAGAAGCCACAGGGCCACCTCATCCCTTCCCTCACAATGGACCCTGTCACAACCCTTCTCCCCACCACTGCTCTCGACACCTGGTTAAACTCCCCATGTCTCTGCCCACAGAATACTGGCTACCAAGTTGAGTGAACTTGGCCTCCTGGCGTCCAAGCCTGTGGTGTGACTCAGCTGACACTGTGACCTCATCTTTCATTATTGCTTCATTTGTTACCATAAATGTCTCCTTACCTTCAGTTTGGTGCTTCTTGGTGGGCTGGATAGGAAGTGCCGAACATTAGGTTTCATGCTGTATGCTGTACTCATCATTTATAGGTTGACTCTACAGCAACCAAATGTCAGCTACGTCCGAGCTCTATTAAGACCTGTCCTTTCCATGTATTAATTGGGCACTTCACAAGATATATATTCTTCCTATTGGAAAAGCAAAGGAAGACTAGAAGAAGTATGGAGAGATTAAGCGAAGTCACGGCTGATTAAAATACCAGTGTGCGCTCTAAGCTTCCATGGGCCATCTCCAAACTGCCTTCTCACTGGACCACACCGTGTACTAAACACAGGCTGCCTGGCTCTAGGGTGTAGACTATGTCACCAAGCCTTAAAACTTAAGGATCAGTGTGAAGTGATTATTTTTTTTTTTGTCTTTCCTATTGAGAGAAAAAATCTACATTTTCCCAAATAGTAACCTTTCTCTATGGGGAGAGGGATTGTGGGTACCAAGCCGTGTTACCAAGAAGGCGTCTTCCAGTTACGAGGATGCAGGTAGCGTCTGTTTGCCTTGGTGGCCATGCCAACAGGCGCTACCTGGTGGCTTTGTAAGTGTTAATGCGTCCTAATCTCTCCCTTACCAGCTTCCCTTTGACAGCACGTTGGAGAAGCATTAAGATAGTAAAAGGAGCCTGATGTAAGATGTTAGATGCGCGGAGTTCAAATCCCAGTTCTTCATTTGTTATCCTAGGCAAAAATAACCACTCAACCACACAGTGTTTAAATGCATTTGTAGCTGGAGAGACGGCTCAATGGTTAAGCGCACTGGCTGCTCTTCCAGAGGACCTGGGTTCAATTCCCAGCACCCACATGGCAGCTCACAATGGTCTAACGCCAATCATGAGGGATCCAAAACCCTCTTCTGGCCTCCATGAGCACTGAACACATGCAGTGCCCAGACACACAGGGAAGCCAAACACCTGAACACATAAAATGAAAATCTCAAAAAGAAATCAGTTTGTAATAATGCCTCAATTTCAATGAGCAAATGTTCCAATACCTATAAAATGTTTAGCAAAGTCCCTGGCATAATATAAATGGATATTAGCTTGGAATCAACTTCCAGCCCTTTTCAGTTTCATTTTCATGAGTTGTTTTGCAGAAATAAAAGGGGAGTCTGTTCACTGAAAATCAAATGCGTTGTCTTCCAAAATGAATTAGACTCTCCTAGAACCCAAGTAGGATTTCCCTTAAGAGCTGGCTGTACTCTTGGGTAGGAATTTATGTGAGGAAAAACTATCATTCTTTTGTTAAAAGCATTTTCTTTACACATGAAGGAGTTGTCTTCAGCTAAGCTTGAAGCCTGTACACTCTAGGACTAGCTTTCTATTGTAGGGATTGTTGTTAAGGCAGCTTCCGTAGCCTGATTTGCAAAGAAAATTTGAAAGTTTTTTCTTGGCAAGTCTTAGCACCCTTGGGTTCTTGCAGATATGACCCATGTAATAGATTAGTTTTCAGTTTACTCTGGTTCTAGGAAACTGAAAATCAAGTTTGTATCTTGAGGGCCTATGATCTGCATAGCTACATTTCCCTGATTGTATTTGTGGAAATGAAAAATGCTTTTTAGGGGAACTATCTGGAAGTACGTGTTGCATTTTATACTTAGAAGGATTTGGCTCTACGTTGTGTATAATCTTCATTTTTTTATAGGATTCCTGAGAGCATCAAATTTGGTATATTAGGTGGTCTGTTTAGGTCCTGGATCCAAAACACTGCCGGTTCTCTATGTGGGGGAATGGCATCTGGGGGAGGAGAAGGCTAGGGTGTAAGATACCAGAGACAGGTCATTCCGGCTTCCTCTTCTGGAAGGAATGCTTAGTGCCCTTGGGCCTCACACCTCTTGTCCTCGTGACCTCCTCACCTCACAGCTCCACAAGGACTCACTCAGGCTGATGAGGCAGACACCTTGAGCCCACTCCAACTAAGAGGTCAGACTCCAATAAAGCTTGTTTAGGTGGATGGGTGAGTGGATGGAGGGACGGACGGACGGACAGACAGATAGATATCAATGATAGATAGATGATAGATGAGAGAGATGGATGATATGTAGTAAATAATTAAATAGTAAATATTAACAGATATTAGATGATAGTAAATAGATGATAGGCAGACAGACAGTATTTTTTGTACTAAGGCTTGAATCTAGGGCTTCACATATTCTAGGCAAACACTCTTAACCCTTCTCTGTAATTCAAGCCCCTATTTCCCTTGTACACTCCTATTTATAATCCGTTTCATATTATTAATGGAAATAGACTGTCATGTGTACCAGCCTGGAAAGAGAATTTCCTTCCACCTTCCTCTTTTTATTTATTCCTTATATCCTTCTAAGTCACAAATTCCCAAGTGGTGCCATAACCCACGTCACCTTTTTTCTAGAAAGCTCCAAGAGCCAACAGGTTCTAAAAATCCAATAGAAACCCTGGTGCCTTCCC